GATTAGGATGCGTCTTGATTGATTTAACATTGTTAGTTTGTCTTCCAACAAACTTTCAACACCCCAAAGTCTAAATATAGAAAGTTAGATAAAGTTGCGAGGATGGAGAAATGATTTATGGGTTTTCATTATTGAGGTTTATCTTGTCTCTTTAAGCACGTCACTTTGCCAAACCTTGCCCTACTGAGCCTGGGCCTGGCCTGGGCCTGTCTCTCTCACTTCGTCACTTTAGCACCATAACCATTACTCTTTCTCTTCATCATTGGTGCGCCATATTGTATAAGATAGCATTTAATGATATAAATATTTATTCTTTTAAAATAAAAACACTAAAATAGAAGAAGAATAAAATGCATTTATGAAATTTTATGGGATGTGATGCTATAATAAAAGAATTTAATATTAAAACTCTCAAATGGGATATTTTAATAAATTAAAGGGAGAACCACATCTTTCCACTCAAGGTTTGGCGAAATGACACTTTTTCATCCGTCAAGTTTCAAAATGACACTTTTTCATCCATCGTCCGTTAACTTAGACTGAAGAGAGATAGAATGGTAAATTCCAAAAACAACTAAAGGATGATTATGTCATTTTATCCCATGTATATAAACTTAGAAAAAAAAAAACATAAAACCTTAATTCAAACTCCCATCGCCCTAAAGTCCTCCACCCCATTAATTGGCTAGAATGGCACCCGACATCCAATCTTCACCATGGCTTTGCTCGTCAAGAAAACCACCTCCGACCGTGAGTACAAGGTCAATGACATGTCTTAGGCCAACTTAGACCGTCTCGAGATCAAGTTGGCCGAACTCGAAATGCTTGGTCTCATGGCTTACCGTACTGAGTTCGACTCTTCTCAGCCCTTCAAGGGCAACAAAATCACCAGCACCCTCCACATGTCCATTCAAACCCATATTGAGGTTCGGGTTTGGATCTAAATTTAGCGAGAGAGAGATTTCAAAAGATTTGGATTACAAATGTTGATGAAGTGTTATCAACGAGCTCTTTTGATCCATGTTTTTTCCAAAAAATAAAGGGTTTAATATGGAGTTGAAAAGAGAGATTTGAGGGATCATGAAGAGAATTATTAGGGAAAGAAATAGGAGATCTCGTGAAGTCAAAAGGACGAAGATTGAGATGAAGTGAGTGACGAAGGAATGTTTTTGACCAGGTGAAGGAATAGAGCCCGAGGTTTGTATTATAAAAATAAGAAGTGAGTTTTAACTTATTGGAGATCGGTGGTGGTGGCAAAGGCCAAGAGAGTTTGTGGAGGCCAACTATTTTATTTTTTTCAGTTTTTAAAATTTTTTTATTTGGATGATGTTGTGTGTTCATTTGAATAAGGGTGGAGATTTTGTGTTGATTTTTGTGAGAAGCTAGTGCAATTCTAGTGAAGGAGAGATTCCAGCAAAAGAGAAAGAAGAAAAGAGGAGAAGAAGAAGAAGAAAGAGAAGGGTAGTTTCGTCTTTATATTATTTATACTATGTCAGAGAGCAGACTTTTTTAACGGAATATAACAGTGGATGGGAAAATGTCATTTTGAAACTTGATGGGTGGAAAAGTATCGTTTCACCAAACCTTGGATGGGAACATGTGGTTCTCCCAAAATTAAATGATTATTTGTCTTTGCCGTTAAAATTGAAGGAAGACCAGGTTTGAGTCGTTTGACCACTGCATTTAAATATTTGGTATTCAATTTATCTTCAAGTTAGTATTCAATTTATATTTATGGAACAAATAAAATTCGAGGATGAAAAGATGAAAAAAGAATACTAAACTGTGAGACAAAACGAAGCAAAGCAAGCTTGAAAAATTAAATGGAAATAGACAAACAGATTAAGGCACTTCAACCAAGTAAATTCCTAGAAAATGGGAAATAAAAACAGCCTGGCTTCTGCACAAATTATTTAATTATTTTAACATTGACTGCCCGTCCATATATGCTGCAAAAACTATTCTACGATATTTTTCCCAATAAATACTAAAAAATTTATGCATAAAATTTTGTAAAAATGAAAATATAATTTGTTTGATTTATAGAATGTCTTACATGTATAGTTTTAACGAGATCTCAGATCCCTTGAAAGTTTCAACATTTCCCCAGCCCCCACCAACTTCTGAAATAGCCACTTAAACCCCTGTCGTCTGTTTTCAATGTTAAAATGAATATGTTAATATAAGAGTGTTACAGCTTACATCAGTTTAGATAAAAGAATTTAATACACCTACCACCACTCTTATTCTTATAAGAGGTTAACCTAAAAGTAATAACTTTTTTTTTTTTTGGAAAAAAAAAAAAAAAGAGAAAAACATAACCATATTTGGGTCCTATTAAAAAAAAAAAAAAACCAACTAAAATGTCTCCCTCATTTTAAACAAGGAAAACATAAAAAGACACTATTGAAACAAAATTAAGAAATAATGTAGTTTTAATGCCTTAATTATATACAATTTATACTAAATTCAAACCAAGTCAATCCAATTTAAATTTGGTTAACGTGATAAGTGATTCATTGAACAATTTTCAGTAGTTTGATGTTCTTAAATCACATTCTAATCACCTATTTTAATTATTATTAATAACTTTAATTGAAAAATAAAAATTATATAAGAGTGACATTATCACTTATGGACACAATTTTCTATGCTTAAGTGTATTTAATATAATTGTGAAACTATAAAATGATGTGAATATTCCTAATATTTAACAACAAAATTAAATATCCCTAATCTATAATGATTGCCATTGCCTCAGGCCAGGTTACCGACAGTGATATTGGCTTGGATATGTTTAAACATCTGTTAGTGTTAAATAAGGGTTGTCTTAATGTGCGCCCTATGGGTACATATTAAGAATATTAAAAGATAAAATATTTATTTATTTTGATGTATATTATGTGTAAAAAGACAAAAAAAAAAAGGCACAATTTTTAATGCATCATATGATCATAATACTAAATTTGTTTTCCTCTAATATTCTTATTATGTGCGCTAAAGACATACATTAAGATAACCCAATATTATTTATTTATTTAAACTTTTGAAACATTCAGTCCTCAAAAATAATTTTTATAAATTTTATAAATTTGTCTCGTAAATAATAAAACCTCTTTTTTAAGATTATATGAAGTTTTTTTCTTCCTTATATACATATGACCCCCGGTTAAAAAAAGATGGGGTCATGGAAGATTATGCTGGTGAAGGTAATTATCAGGGTTATTGATAAAATAAGTTGTGCTGATTTGATGATTTATAACTAATGATTAATGGATATATATTTCAACTTAAAATTTTACAAAGAGGTTTTCTTGACCCCTGGAGGTTCAATCAAATAACAAAAGTCCTTTTGAAATTTTAGAAATAACAAACTCTCCTTGCCGTCAGTTAGTCGTTAGTGTACTGTTAGAGTTTATAACATGATAGGTGAACGAATATTTACTTAAATGCCTCTCTGCTGTTTATTTTAACACAACAAATTTAACGGTAAGAGAATTTTTGTTATTTCTCTAACTATAGGGGAACTTTGTTATTTGGTTATATTTAAGGGGGTTTATTGTTAGAAAACTATGTACAAATAATATTCACAAAATCTCTTAATGGGTTTACGTGGGCACAGGTATCGGCCGACAATTTAGAGGAACAGTATGTGTTTAACTAATGATATAGTTGTGATGGATTGGATATTGTGGAAAGTTTTTGTGTATGGAATTGATTTTATAGTCTACTTACAAATGTGGCGATGGAAGAGTGACTGATGCGTTTTGTAAGAGAAAAAAGTATAAATTAAATTTCAGAAAATTAAATTAAGAAAAGGAGTGGCTGTCTGCTATCAACCAACCCCCGCAACATATATAACATCTTCATCAACTTGTCTTAGGAATCACTCATTTTATTTTTCAATTTTAGATATAATATATATATACAATATTAATTTCTCAGAAGCACATATTATATAATATGTGTGTGTGTAAATACTATGTGGAAGGAATCTCCCTGCTTCTGGTTCTGTGAGTTCAATCAAAATCAAAAAGATGGATATTTAATTCCCAGCCGAATAACTCACATAAATAAAACAAAGACTGCATCTCCTTCCCAATCAAGTGGGAAAAAGAAGACAAAACATTCACAATAAAAAATTTTTGTTTTAAATCATCACGTGCAGCATATGCATGGACATACATACTTGGTCTCCAGTGGTCCTTTTAAACTTATAAACTATATTATACATGGAAAAAGTGTTTAATATGGATTGGTGACACTAACATAATGCTAACGAGACACATGTCATTAACAATTTGCGAATAAACTATATGATTTATAAATTAATAAATAGATGATTACGTTAATGATAGAGACAGGGACGGTAGAATTGAAAAGTTGCCCCATGCGATTGCGGTGGCTCCCCTTTGTCAGTTGACGTTTACTTGTAATTTATAAGACGCTCTGCTCATTCAACTCTCTTCAACCAACTTTCAAGGGCGTGCCAGAAAGTTAGCTAGTTTGGAAAATTAAAGAAATCAAACTCATTATTTAATGTGAATTCATAGATTAAATCAGCCAGCTCTACAGTTGATTATCTTTCTAGTATTAATTTATAAATATTCAATTTTATATATAGTTTTTATCTTAATAAAAGATCATAATTAGTGAAATTAATCCATGAAATTGATGGATTGTTGGACGGTTGATATTTCTTAGGTTTTTGCATCATTTAGAAGGTGCAGCTAGGTCTTTGTTGAGATATCAATAACATATCAAGAAAATTTAATGTCGGTCCTTTCTATTTTTGTACGAACAAACTAACCGTTCCCAGTGCCACATACAACCAAAATCTTTTATTATTATTTCTATTCAATTTTCAATATGAGACGATAAAACAAACTATTCTGTAGTAACTGAGATTACACAATAGCCACAACTGTTTATAATCGTATAAATCGTAATTTCATTATAACAAAAATATGAGGGACAAAAAAATACAGCTATATATAGTGACTCTTCCTAGAAACAAAGGCGAGACATATCAAAGAAGATTACAGTATAGAACTTAGAAAAACGCGACTACAGAACACAGATTGAGCTGTTAAAGAGTAAAGAAAGAGAGAGAGTTTTTGCAAATGGGAAGGAATCCTTGTTGTGTAAAGGAAGGTTTGAATAGAGGCACTTGGACTGCTCGTGAAGATAAAATCCTCAAGGACTATATTGCAGAACACGGTGAAGGCCGATGGAGAAACCTCCCTAAAAGAGCTGGTGAGTTATTCAAAGTTACTAATTTTGACAAGATTTGAGCACCATATTACTTCTCTAGATTTTATTAATCTGTGTTTATCTGGGATTGTTTGTGTTTTTTTTTCTGATGGGTTAGGTCTAAAGAGATGTGGGAAGAGTTGCAGACTTCGTTGGTTGAATTATCTGAGACCAGACATTAAGAGAGGAAATATCTCGCCAGATGAAGAAGAGCTCATCATCAGACTTCACAAACTCTTGGGGAACAGGTTTTCATCTTTAATTGATGCCTTTGTTATGTATTTTTCTTCTTCATACATATTGATGACAATGCGATGCTAATATGAGTTCTACTTATGTAGATGGAGTCTGATCGCTGGCCGGCTTCCAGGGCGAACAGACAATGAAATAAAAAACTACTGGAACACAAACCTAGCCAAAAAGGTTCATCAACAACCCAATCAAAGAAACAGAAACAAGGCTGAGAATTTTAATTCTCACTCATTACCGCTAAAGATGGAGCCACATAATCATGTGATCCGAACCAAGGCAATTAAATGCACTAAGGTATCATTACATCAAGAGAGTTGGAAAAAGAGCGAAAATTTTGGCACTAACGTTCACCCAAAGGCAGGAGCATCAATGCTGCAGAATACAGAAAATAAATCAATAGTAATGGAATCTAATAATTGGTCATCTTCATATGGTAACGAAGTAAACAATCCAACAGATTTATTGATGGACTTCAAGGTGGGCGAATTTAGTTTATCAGATCTTCTAAATTCCGATTTCTCCGACTTATGTGGAACCTCTTCAGCTACTTACAGCAACGATGACAGTAACGTATTATTTCCTAGTTCTTCAGAAAAACCTCTGTTCTTGTCTGACGAAATGCTACAAGACTTCTGGAGTGTCCAGGCGAACGTGGCCTCAAATCTAAATGATTCATTCAATCCATTTTTCGAGACTGGAGGAGACTGGCTACAGGATACTAATTAAGTGATCGATAATGTTAATTAATTAGTTAGTTTCACAGTTATATGATAATTAACTATATCTTTAGTTTTAATACTATAAATCATGTAAGCTAGGTCTTATGTTTAATAAAAAAATAGATTTAGTTAGTGGGAAGAATCTTATGAAGAAGAAGAAGATCATGATCTCGTCTTTCATTAACCCCACATCTCCTTTCTCTCTGTTTTTAATTTCTTTCCATAAGATTTTACTTAATTTTGAGTTTGAGGCGTGTAAGTTTTTCCGATTTTGATGCTTGATTAGACATACACAGCATGTATAGATGGCGATATATATATATATATATATATGATAATTGATGACAACCTTTATCAATTTTTGTCTACGTGCTAAGTAATTATCATTAAAAAAATTAATTAATTTGGGTCATTTCATGAATGTTAATTAATCTCTATAATACGGTTGAAATTATATTTTATCCTATTAATTTTATAAAATAAAATTAAGATTCTAACACTGAATAGTTCTTTGGATTAATAATGCCAAAAAATAAATATTGTATATAGATGGGAATAACGTCCATTTGAATTGGCAGAACAATTTATTATTTCTTGGAAAACCTAATCTCCATGGAATATGAGATTCTTAACCTTTTGTTCACATTTATTATTTCTTGTTCCAAGAGATGTGTTCTTTTTCTTGACATTTACAGATGATTCATCACATCTTTTTTTTTTTTTTTTTTTTATCTAGCCAGCTTGCCAACGTCTCAACCAATTCTTTGAAGTTCAGGATTCGAATTCAAGACATCTTGAATAATATGTGAAAGAGTTTCAAGTAAACCGTCAAACTACCTAGAAGTAATTATCGCATCAACTCTTCATTTACACATAAACATCATATAAGAAAACACATCACTTAGAATACAAAAATCGAGATACCAGTTTAGTATTAATCTTTGTTAATTCGTTTATTTATTTTGTAATTATTATTCAATGACACTTAATTATTAAGTATTATTTATCAGATTAAAAAATAAAGGAGTCCAAACCTAATTTTTAGAGAGAGAGAAGAGGATTTAATGTGCTAATATATACACGGCAATGGGTGAGGGGTCCTGGTCCCTCCTATGCTGGCAACCCAATCTAACGTATTCTTTAGGGTTTACTAATTAAATAGGACAATGGTTAATAATAGGAAAACGTGGACCAATTGTTTTATTACAAGATGAGAGGAGTGATGAAAGATGTTCATCTAAGGTTTTGTTTTTTATGTGGACTAGCAGGAGAGCCTTAGAGCAAGACATTGACAAGGACCTAATTATCACTTTATTTTGAATTTTTTTAAACATAAAATCCGGACTTTAAATTAGTAAAAATTTACAAGTGTTGTTCACGAACTCTATGCAACGTCACTCTTTCTTCCATGGGCATGCAAATAATTAAATTAATTAAATCCTTTTAAATGAAAAACATTATTTTCTTGCAATTCATGCTGTCGTTAATTTTCTATCATTGTTTTTTTGGTTTAGAAATTATTAAATGAAAATAGTTACATTAAATTACAATGAACAAAGGCAAAAGCCAAGTGAACCCAACACTCTTCCTCTAGACCAATTATTGTATTTGTTGAATGTATTTCTTCTCTCCTGTCACATTTTAGTGTGAAGCAATGACTTTTCTTGATAAATTAGGAATATGATGTTAATGCATATTTATTATATACAGGTAAGACGTGATTTTGAAACATAGTCAATCCATAATATTTATTATTATTATTATTATTTTTTGATGTAGCATGCAGGGGCGGACTTCAATCGAATCAATCCTAAATTGAAGAACTTTGTAATTTCTTGTTTTATATAAAATCAGAAAAAGACAAATGTTTAGGTGAAAGAAATTATAGGAGCCGTGTTGCTGGGGAAATCTTCAAATTCTACTCACGTGACGTGATTTACCTTTTGTTTTACTACACTATTTTTTAATACTGAGAAATTGCATCATTCATTTGAATTGTGTATTTTAATTTTAAGATTAATTTCCAACTCTTTCTCATAAAAAAATAATGATTTTAATCAACCACTACTGATGGTATGAGTTTTAAAGAATAAAATGAGGATTTATATACTCCTGAATTCACGCAAATTGACCCAAGATATCCCTGGTGATAAAAAAAAAAATATTGATTTTAATCAAATGCCGCTTCTTGGGATCCGTTAAACTTTTGACTGTTTAAGTTAGAAAAAATGGTTTGTAAATTGTAAATATATGTTGGATCACGTGATTCTTGTCGATTGGTGAAAATGAAATATATAGTTGTTTTTTGTAATTTTATGAGAATGTAGTGATTGTTGGTTATATAAAGAAGCATTCAAATGGGATGATGTCGGGGTCGGTCACACCACATGATGGCCATCAATATTTTTTATGGGTCCTCTTCTCTTCACGTCCTTTATTTTTTTAAGTTTATTGGGTTCACCTTCGCCCTCCTCCCTCTCTTTTCATAATTACCTGCTCCCGACCCTGCATTACAAACCCACTCCCATTTACAGGAAAAAAAAATAAAACACGTGTTTCTAAGAGTCAAAGCTACCTCTCTACGCCTCCTTTGTCATTTTCAGTGTTCAAATTTAACAGCTTTTCTTAGAAACATCTCATCGTGCTCTTTTTTGGTATAAATAAAGATTATTTTTATTAATTTTAAAATATAAAGTATTAAATTTTTATTCAAATTCAACCAAATTTTTCAAATTTAATAAAAATATCTTTATTTTCAAGAAAGAAACTTAAGAGCATCTCCCATGGTACTCTTTATTTTAAAGAGCATCTTTCATATAAATAAAAAATATCTTTATTGATTTTTAAATATAAAGGACAAAATTTTTATTCAAATCTAATAGACTCTTTAAATTTTAGGAGAGGGAATATGTTTTTTCAAGAAAAAAACTTAATGGAGAGATAATTAATAAATAAAATGCATAAAAACTTGTAATTTATTAATTAAAATTAAGATAGAGAATGAAATTTAACTCTCTAGATATGGAGAGTCAAACTTACTCTTTAATTTATATTTAAAGAATAAAAAGTCTGTTAGACTTTTGTTCTTATAGATAGATTCTTTATAATAAAGAGTTTGAGTCATATAAATAGTAATTTAAAGATCATACTCTTTTCTAACTTTTCGCTCAATGTGTGCTATCTAATTCACACCAGTACAATTTTTTTTAATTTCTGATTAATAAAATAATATACTTTTCAACACAAATTTGCAATTTATTTTATTTTTTCATGTTCATAGGATAAAAGAAAATGATTATACATACAATCACATATTCAGGTACTTTCCACACTCCAGGTCCAAAGACTTCCAAAACATTTTGATTAAAATAAATGATTGATTGTTATGCGGTAGGTCCATCTCCATGTGTATTATGCATAGATATATGTGCCAATATGATCTTAAACTTAAGCAAAGCTATTGATTTACATCTCTCCATGACATCAACAATCTAATTGGAACCATACTGTCTCAGAGCTTGAGATTCTATTTTGGAGGGTACCTGTAATTAGAAAAAATCCCGTTCAAACCCCAATAATTTAAAAAACGTACAGTCACACCATTACAAGTATTATATCTGTATAATTATTTAAACCCCAATAATTTCTGTATCTGTATGAAAAGTATTGGCCCTGACATTAATTTCGACCACGTCTCAATATCCTACCATATCTTTATAGCATATTCTGTGGAGTGCTAAACGTCAAGTTTTTTATTTGGTCTTTTACCACGTGATAGTGAACTCCAGCGTTTCTTTCTATCATATGCAGCTATCAACTGACTAATCTTCTAAATTCAAATAAAATAAATATTAATATCCTTGATTGATACATATTATTACATACGTAAAGCCAAACTTAAAAAAGAAAAGAAAAGGGTGTCTCTATCTTTATTCCCTTTCAATTTCCAACTTTTGGAGTACAGTTCATCACCTTCACTATTAAACCACTATCGAGAATCCAGAAAAAACGAAAATAATTACCACAAGAAAAGAATAATTACCTAAACTAAAGAAGGTTATTTTCATGGCGAAATCTGGAAGTGGCGTGCAGGTGCAGCATATAGATTAACAAAGTGAAAGTGAAGTAAATGATAAAAGTAGTAAACTAAACAACTACGAAGACTTTTGAAAATTTTGTCCAGAATCTGTCAAAGTTTATTAACATATAGCCTATAATGGTATGGCTACTTTACCTATTCACTATTGTGATTATATATCAAAACTGGAATTTATGTTTTATTAAGTAACGAAAAACATGCAAATAACAATTACTTTAATTAAATTAAACCTTTTTTTATTAGTGAATAATTAACTAAAATTTAACCTACTTTCAGATTTGCAGTGGATTTTTAAATTAATTAATTAAGTTGATGAGAATATAAAACACCATTTAAACACAATTTTAATGGATTTTAATTTTTATAAGAGTATTAAGTATGACCATTAAAACCTTTCCATACGTTAGTATTGACCACAAATCTAGCTCAGACACATGACAGTAAGTAAAGCAATAAAACATTCAGCTGATGAACTTGCTTATTAAGTGATTGAATTTTAAAAAGAAGATTTATTTGCAAGAGGCTCTCAAGATGGAGTTGCTTGATTTAAAGACAAAAATATTATTTAATACAAAAAAGTTTTCTGTGAGACTATAATGATACCACTGTAAAATTGGGATAATCTCTCTAAATCTTCATCCCAATTATGTGAATTCGGCCCTTTACTCACTTGTATTGGGCTCTTGAGTGATTTCACCACTTTTTTCAAATGGGTTGAAATTAGACCCTAATCCAACCCTTTAGTTATTGGCTGAACACTCATAACAATACAGAAAATTGAGCTGAATTTATCAATTTCTATTTGACTTTGTTCACTTTGTTGATCCTCTTCTGTCATTTTATTTACCTCTTTTTAATTACAGTGATACCATCAATTCACCTTCATGTAAAGGAGGTTGTTGAAAAAAAAAAAAATCAATAATAACATTAGTCTATTTGTAATATCTATCTTTATTGTTTAGTGTTTACTTACAAGAAAAGAATCTTGAAAAAGCCAAATACGAAACAAGTCTCTCATACCCTCTTCCTGCGGCAAAGGTTTTTCTCTACAGGTTTGAAACATCATCTCACCTTCTACCATATTTCTATCAGCAATGGANAACATTAGTCTATTTGTAATATCTATCTTTATTGTTTAGTGTTTACTTACAAGAAAAGAATCTTGAAAAAGCCAAATACGAAACAAGTCTCTCATACCCTCTTCCTGCGGCAAAGGTTTTTCTTTTTCTCTACAGGTTTGAAACATCATCTCACCTTCTACCATATTTCTATCAGCAATTGAGGCAGCTGACAGGGAGGAGTGGTATTTGGACTGAAAAAAATAGTGTGTATGTTTAAAAAGAAAATATGTTTTTTGTTTATGAAATGAATGTATTTAGGTTTAACCAAGAAAATGGCGGATTCGAATTTTAGCAGGAGGTTCGTAGCCCTCAATTCCTTAAACAATTTGTTCAAAATGAATTTGATAAAAATAAAAACAAAGATAATGAGTTAAATCTTAATTAACCCGGCCTTTCCATTTCTGTAATAAATCGGGGATAAGAGTGGTGTCCATCCCCTCCTTTCTTTAAGTTTTTTGTTCTTATCTGAATTGGGCTCACAACTTGGCCCTCACGCATAAACCACATTTGTCTCACCTCCATTTATTCTCTTCTCCAAGAATCAACACTCACAAATCTCTTTACAACATCAGAAAGGGCCACATTCACTACCTAAACAATAATTATTTTCGCTATCACTTCTGGAAGTCATAGCATTTAAATAAAGCTGTATAAGGTACCTTCTTCTCCAAGATAAATCTGAGTCAAAGTTTTAGAAATCAGCATTACTATAATACAAACTTAATATTCTAGTAGATTTCTTTAAGAAAGATAACTTTACCAGAGATTTGAAGTCAAATATCTCATACGGATAATGCAAAAGAACTGACCCCCTATATATATATATATACACATTAAGCACAACCTTAACAGTCTCAATAATTACAAGTTGAGATTTTGAATTCAAAGAAATCAATAATGGAAAGCTTAATCTTATATTTCTTTGGGCTCTCTTCATTGCTGTTTCTGGTGTACGGAGTTGCCAGAATTTCCTACTGCATTTGGTGGAAACCCAAATGGCTGGAGTGGCAGATAAAGCGGCAGGGAGTTGCAGGAAATTCCTACAAGCTGCTGATTGGGGACATGAAAGAGTTTATAAAGCTTATAACTGAAGCATGGTCCAAACCTATTCATCTAAACCACCAGATTGTTCAGCGAGTCGATCCGTTCACTCTAAACAATGTCCAAAAATATGGTACACTGCTCTGATTCTTAACTATTTATCTAAAATAAGTGCATAGCTGATATTGAAGTTACGAGTAGTCTTATTAGTGTAAATTGTTTGATGGGTGTATAAAATGCAGGGAATATATCACTATATTGGAATGGGACAAGCCCCAGGCTGATCATCAAGGATCCAGAATTGATGAAAGAGGAGTTGTCTAACAAGCAAGGCCACTTTCACAAACCACCAGTGAATGCTCTTATTCTCATTCTAGCAAGAGGATTGACCAGTTTAGAGGGTGAAAAGTGGGCCAAACGTAGAAGGATACTCAATCCTGCCTTTCACCTTGAGAAATTGAAGGTTTATTTCTCTACAGTACCAGTTTTACATTTCAGCTCTAGTATTCCTTGAATTAAATTTATTTATTTATCAAGTGTTAAAAGTCACTAATCCAAACAAACACTACTTCAGAGTTCAGAGTAGTAAAATGGTACGCTAATATAGTTTTTATTTTAAAAAATTTCAATAACATGCAGGCAATGATTCCAGAATTTGTAACCAGCTCTAGCAAGATGATCGAACAATGGAAGAAGATGGTTGGTGATGAAGTTAGCTGTGAATTAGATATCTGGCCCGAACTTCAGAAACTTACTGCAGATGCTGTTTCTCGGGCGGCTTTTGGGAGCAACTATGAACAAGGGAAAAAAATCTTTCAACAGCAAAAGGAGCTTTTACAACTAACGATTGAAGCCATGCAGACACTATACATTCCTGGTTTCAGGTGCATCTCCCAATACCATTACATAAAATAGCTAGGGTGAGTGTTCCCAATTAGGTATTTAAGATACTGATCAACTGTCTTGTATAGATTTGTTCCAACAAAGAAGAATCGGAGGAGAAAGAAATTGGACAAAGAGATCACAACAATGCTAAGAAATATAATTCAGGGAAAAGAAAATGCAATGAAAACCGGAGAATCCAGGGTCGACGACTTGGTGGGTCTGCTTCTGCAATGTAATAACCAAAACATTCTACAAGAAAATTCAAGTAGCACAACAATTACTGGGATGACAATTGAAGAAGTGATAGAGGAATGCAAGCTTTTCTACATTGCTGGCCAAGAAACGACCTCCAGCTGGCTAACATGGGCAATGATAATCTTGGCTATGCACCCGAACTGGCAAGAGAAAGCAAGGCAAGAAGTTTTACAAGCTTGTCATCAGAAGGAACCTAACTTTGAAGCTATAGCTAACCTGAAGATTGTAAGTATTCCTCTCCAGTTCTGTAACTGCATCGATGCCTGACAGTTCCCGACTAAAAGTAATTTTAACAGTCACATTCATATAATTTGCTACTTCAAAGTCTTAATGCAATTTTCCTGCAGGTTACCATGATACTTTATGAAGTCTTGAGGCTGTATCCACCAGTAATTGCTCAGTATCAACACACCAATGAGAAAACCAAGATAGGAGAAATCTCTCTTCCTGCTGGGGTAGATATAACTCTACCTACACTTCTCATTCATCATGATCCTGAGCTTTGGGGTGATGATGCAGATGAATTCAAACCAGAGAGATTCACTGAAGGTATTGCCAAGGCGTCTAAGGGTCAAACGGCATTCTTTCCTTTCGGATGGGGACCACGGACTTGTATTGGCCAAAATTTCGCCCTGCTAGAAGCGAAGGTGGCTTTAGCTATGATTCTGCAAAATTTCTCATTCGAGCTCTCAGCTTCCTACTCTCATGCTCCTTATACTGTTATGACTCTTCAACCACAACATGGAGCTCAAATCACTTTGCACAAACTCTAAAGCTGCAAGCTTAGCCTAAAGGTAGAAGACTATATAAATAATGTGACAGAATCACAAAAGAATAAAAAATAAAAGATCTGTTGTGTGTTTTATTTCTGAGGAATGTTATGTGTGATGTACTGCTTTACTGGGAAACAATATAATGATCCATAGAACCTGTTGGAAATTTAGTAGTCTAGTGATGTTACATCGAAAGTGCTTATTTAACGTATGAACCTGACAACTCCTATGTATTTCCTCCCATGGGTTGAAGCTGTGATTATTTAAAGAGAACCACAACCGAAAACACTTCATCCGTGTAGACTACATTTGTTTAGCCATGTAGTTAAAATTATTAGAGTTCCTAGTCATGAACTTGACCAAACACCTCCATCAGCAATATGCATCAAGAGACAACAGGCGTGTCTCGCTATTTTCTCTCTCAATTAAATTCTACATGAAAAACAAATAGGTACTTTAAATTATCTTACCGACTTGGTGGTTGACATCATTTAGCTCATGATTTTAGATTAGAATTTGCATTTAAATTCTTAAAAGCATAACAACTTTGTTGAACGCAACTTAAAAATATAGTTGTTTTATAGTGAAAAGTTTAAAGAATTTGTAAGCGTATGATAAGAACTTGATAAAGTTCAAATCCATTATAGCATATCTTTGAATACAGCTATTCTTGTATTGGCAAAATCTATAGTACAAACGAAAGAAGCCTTAATATCTTTAAAAATTTATTTAAAAAGAAATTAGAAAAGTCTTTTACAAGTCACAGATACAAATGTAAATAATACGTGTATTACATGTGATAAAAAAGTTTTAACTACAAACAGGATGAATCAAAGAGATTCAATCAGAGACGTCTTCACATTAATGGATCATGCATACTTTATTGGACTTACTGACATCACATGAATGTCAATTACGGATCAAAACTACAAGAACACTTGGTAGTAGATTCTAATTTATCACTTATAATCTAAGTTATGCCTATGCCTTTGGTGAATGATGGATTCCAAAAAATTCATTTAAATGATTTTACATGTTTTAGCAATTGCTAAACTTGAGAAAATTTTCCTATTCGTTTATTTGTTCAATAAATAAGATTTTTTTTTTTTTTTCCCACTAAAAGGTATCCAAAAGATCCTGTTGCAACCTCCCACCTTTATTCTCTATTGTTCCTAAAGAAGAATGTAACAAAATTGTAAGCTATATTCTATGCTTCCTCACCTCCCCACAATATAAACCAATACTATAAAGTACATGAACAAATACCATCACATATCAGCAAAACCACTTAAAACGGAATCCACATCTGGAGTCAAGATGGCACGCTTATCGAGCTCCCCAACAATGCAGCAATACTTCTCTGCCTTATTAATAGCTACAACATCCTGGGCAAACATACAATCCAAACCTGGGGTAACCTGAAGCCATTTAAAAATCAGATGTTAATTACTTATCCTGCAGTAACTCGAGAACTTAAAAAGTGAATACATGTAAGCTCAAGTACTTTTAATAAAATGAATTTTGATGTGCATTCCTTAGTCTCATTATTGAGTGTACTCACATCATAAAGGGTATCACCCAGCTTCAGCTTGACAGCACCACTCTTGTATACTAGCATTTTACCCATAAAACCTGCTGGTAACTCATCCAAACTACACGTCTTCTCCATAGTTCTTTTACCCCCATGTGGCTTTGAGCTTCCAGTTGCCTCCTGGCCTTCTCCTGTTGTTGATCGCTTTTTCATAGGCATAGTTGGTGGTAACTGAAGAAAAAACATGCTTGCTTCCAGATTCTCCTCCTGCAAACCGACCTCATGAAGCATTTATAAATAAGCTAAGCATATAGCACTATTTGATATTGTTACATTTACTAACCATTAGACCAAGTTCTTCAGCTGGCTTCATTGAACTTTCATCATAATCCATGGTTTCTGAAGTGTCACCAAATTCCTCCTCATCAAGAAGCTCTACAAGCAATAGAAGAAAGTCAGTCATATAGTTTGGTATGCAATCCAAGTTTGTCATGACAGTTCATAGACAAACTCTGGTACAAGAAAGGACTCAAACCAAATTGTAAGACATACTTTAGTAGGTAAGTAGTTATGCCCAATTCATTCTAAAACCTAAGTAATTCAAGGTAATTTGTTTCAACGTCCTACTATTCTTGGGTAAAGTAGTTTTTTTCTTTTAAACAAACCTGGACTTCCTGAATATGGTCTCCTCAGGGGAAGAGTTACAGGATAATAACTGTAATAGTCCTGCAGCATTGGAATAGAAAAAAAAAAAATTATTATACACAAAAAGAAAGATAATTAGACAGAGAATGCAGCAAATCCAGTTTGAGAATACGAAAACAAAAATCCAGCAAAGCTACATTAGTTTTTTAAACAGGGTCAAGGTTTTACCTACCCATGGTTCCTTGTATTCTTTCTCCTCCGTTAGACCTGAGGCATAGCCACCAGCAGAATCAAAATTATAAGTGTAATGCACTGGAAGTTTCTCAGTAGTAGCTTAGAATAAAATGTATCTAAGAATAGCATACCATTAAGCCCAGCTCTGTTACTGCTACCCCCACCTTTGGGAACACCATATGATTTTATAGAAGTTGATCCACCCCCGTAACCAAATGCAATTTGTGAAGATGCAACTGCATATTTTAAGATAAAAAGAATAAAAGCCTTTCCACAATTTAGCAACAGAAGCAAGAAATAGCCTTTCCAGAAATTTACTGCCAAAATTTCCTGGCATCATAGTAGCATAGATTATGCATATATGACAAGAATACTTCCTGAGTTAGAAATCAAAGTACCCAATGGATCCAAATTTAAGCTAAGACTGAGCACTCAATTTGTTTTCATAATCCATAATGCACAACAATTAAGTGAGAAGAATGCAATATGAATCTTACACATTCAAAGTGAATTTGGAAAACCAAACATTGGGTTTGTCACAAACTTTCAGCTCTAGAAGCAATAAATCAGAGAACGTGACTCTCATATATGGAGGACAAGTTCAATCTTTGCCTCGAACACAAAGAATGTATTCATTAAACAAACAGTTGAATCATACTGTATTGACACTGGGCAGAACTAGACCACATATTATTCAGTCAATTAACTGTGGTTGGAAAACTCAAGCTTTGAAGGCAAAAAAGCCACAAGTATAATTAAAACTATTAAACTTATTTACATAGAAACAACAAAAATATAAAAATTCTAATCCAAATTCAACCAAAACTAAGAAGTGGCCAAATGTGGCAAGAAAGATATCAAATTACCTTTTTTTTCAAATTTTGGTTTTGTCTTCATGTTACCTTGCTAAAAAACAGAAAACTGAATCATAAGAAATATGGAACAAAAGATTGAAAACTGGATAATGTGATAAACAACCAAAACAATTGACAAACACATTTTCATTGAAACGTCGCAGCAAATCCCTGGCCTGGGCACTGGCAGTCTCAGCATTTTCAACTTCACTGCAAACAGAAAATAGTGACAAGACAGACAGGTTAAAATGAAGTCAAAACAAAGAAAAGTTAGCCTGACTGCCAGTTACCAAAAATAACATACGTTTTGACTTCAGCCTTTGGTACACGCAGAGGCGGAGCTTTTGGTGCAAATCTCATCTGCATCACAAAATAATCCAGTAGAAAATATTAAAAAAAAAAAATTAGCCTTCCCATGCCACTTTACATATACATATATAGAAGGAAGGGATGAAAGCAAACCTTTCTGGGGGCATTTGGTTTGTTAGAAGGGTCTGACTCCATCACAGTTGAATAAGAAAAATCTTCAAATAAAATAAGAGTTCAAATGTAACGATTAGTAAATTGAAGGACTATTAGATTTTGATATCTGATATGGTAACGTAATGTTTATACTAATATAGTCAATGATTTCATTGTAAGTGATGTAGTGAGATCATCAACTTTGAGAGAGGAGAAGAAGTGAAGGCTAACCGTTTACACCAAAAGGTTGGCTGGGAAGAAGAGAAGCTAATAAAAGAAAGCGGCCAACCAAAGACTAGAGTTCTCCTCAAACCTTGTATTTATAATAAAACCTAAATTTAGAGTTTTAGACCATTTACAATTCTACTGTTAATAACCTACTGTTTATTTATTTTGCAATCAAATCTTTTCGTGCTAACACAACCGACTTAAAGCAAATTAAGGCTTCATGAAAATAAATATATAATTAGATATCTTATGTTTAAATAAATAAAATATTGTTTTCTTTAACATATATATATATATATATAGAATTTAAAATTATTTGTATCTGTAACATGTTAATGAGGTTAAACTAATGTTCTTCTCAAATTCATGCTTTTACTTTTCAAAAAACAAAATTGTTACAGTACAAAGGTTTACTTTTTTTTTAATAATTTTCAATTAGTAATCTATGTTTTTGGCTTTTCTGTAAATTCTCTGAGGCACATATTCTGAAATAGACTTTAACAATTTAAATATATTGATTTAACCGATATGGTTGAATAATAGATGGTTGTATTCATCCGAATTCTATCAAAAATAAGATCACAAGTTTAGTGTCTGTCATTAGTGAACTCACCGTTCTCATTCCCAATATTCACTTTTCTCATATCCCACTTTTTAAAGACTATATGAGTTTTGCTGCAACATTCCTCAGCCTTAGGTCCATGCAATAGCTGAAGCATTCAAATGCAACCAATTCTTTCAATTCTATTTGGTAGTTATGGTCCATCCTTTTCCATATTTCTGGCTAATACATTACTTAATGTTTTCTCTGGCTCTTGATTTGAAATTTTGCTCGAAAGAAAAGGGGTTTGAACAAAGCATGAGGGCTCAGATACCTGATTTGTCAATACTGAAGAAAAAAAAAAGCCAGTCACACAACATACGTAAAAATGATCAATGGTTTCTTCCTAATTTCTCACTGCCTGCCCACTTTGAACAGATGCAATTAGTTGAGCCATAACAGTAGCATACTGAACTGCTGTGTGCTGTGATGTATAGGGTTCCGGGAGGCCATACTCAGTAAAATTAGGTTCCATATGCATAAACTGACCCGGCAATGATCTTTTTGACAATGCTTCTTTCCATATCTCTAGAAACTCTTCCATAATTTGCCTCGATTTTTCAATTGAAGAAATGGGAAGGTACTCCACCTACAAGGAAACAAGTGACTTCACCAACATGAAAACTTTTACATTTTAATGACAAGAATGATAAAAATGTATGAGCTACAGAGTAGTTAACAGAGGTACTTAGCAAGAGAGAATATAAGTATTTTTTTTCCAAGGCCGTGGAAATACACTTCAAATGCTACAAAATTTCAAGATATCCATAATACTGTATAAGAGTTTACTATAGCAGAAAACACTACAAAGATTATATCTCCGCACTTGCAAAGTACAATCACTTGAAATCAACAAGGAGCAGCGATTCAGTAATGAAATTATTTTCTAGGCGCACAAGCTCTATTGCCTAATAAAAAAGAACTAGGGACTAGCATATTTGGCATATATTTCAGTAACTCCATAAAGTGTATGTATGCCAAGGCCATGAGATCAACCCTACGGATTAACAAGTCCTGAGGTTAATATCCAAATCAGCAGTGATACCAATCTCTACAAAAAGCTCTAACCAAAGTTGTTAAATACACAGCCTTCACCATCCATTTCAACAAAGATCATGCAACATAAATTTGCACAAGTCGATCACACAAATCAAAATGCAAAAAATAGACAATCTGAAATTCCTTCCAACTTCCTATAGTGTAAAGAAAAGAGACAAGATGTATACACGCAGAAAGCTTAATTCTCAACCACACTTACACCAGTATTAATCAATCAATAAATAAAACTTTGCCACGCTATGGCACATTACGCATCAAATTTCTCAATAATTTATATCAGAAAATTTAAATCCCAAATTAACTTGTCTTAAAAATTCATTTCTTTAACATGCAACATTAAAGTAGTAAAATTCAACAAGAAAATACCAATGAAATATAAATTCTCTACAACTTCATCCATAACAAATAAATCAGATCCGTACACATTACTCTTCCCCGAAAATACATTATCAAATAGCTTTACATAAAAGCTAGTGTAAACAAACAAATAAACATAAAAATGATCAAAATTCATTCAAGTTGAGTACCTCCATAACTATTCCTCTCAAATTTTCAGAATGAGTAGGCACAACTTTTCCCACTCTTAATTGGAAGTCACCCAGTTGATATTGAAAACCCTGCAAAGACCATCATACGCTACAACAAATTACAAAAACAAAGTATTAAAATTGAGCTTCGTAAATGTTAAAACAAACCTCAAAATTTAGGGCTACTCTCATTTTGTAAGACTGTAACTTCTCCATTATATTCTGAATGGAGGAATCAGCTTCCATAACGATCCGCTGAGCCCGTATTACGAAATAATACTTGTTTGGCTGTTCTGGAACTGAAATCCCTAGAAAATCTCGCGGGAATTCCCCCGCTAGAGACTGGTCTGTTTGAAACTTAAATTATCAGAATTTAGAAAATCCAAAAATAAGTCAATAAAACACTCTATTAAGAAATTAAAAAAAAAAGAAAAAACCTCGTAACATGGGTTTGTAGAATGTGAGGGTAGCTTTCCAGCGTCCTTCTTTAACGCCGTTGATGCTCTCAACACACTGCGAGACTTCGTTTAAGATTTGACTGTTGACGCTCGTGCCTGCATGTGGTTGCCAATGCAAAACCCTAACAAGGAAAACAGTTTAATCGAATCAACAGCTACCATTTTTCAGCGAAGATAAATTTTCGAAGAAAGGTTCTTTTTGTTTTACCATTTAATGGGCATCGTGATAGCTTAGCTGCTTGTTCCGACAGATTGGTAAACCAGTTTACTGGAGTGAGATCTTAGTGCGTTTTTGAGAAGTGGAACGGTGTAGTTTAAAGTTGCTGAATCAAATAGCTTCATCAACCCCTGAGTTTTATGAAACTTCGTCTCGTTCCAGGTCTAGGGTTTTTACCACCACCACCCCTGTACTATTTAGAAAATATACACAAACCATCATTTTACCTAACTCCGTTCAATTTGAACTAACGTTCAGGGGTAACAAGGTAATTTCATGTTTTTATTCAGTCACTACAAATCTACCGTAACAACCGCCATTCCGGCCACCGTAAACACACAGAGAAAAACATAGCCATTCCATCGCCACTACCACATTTCAAAAACTTCAATTGAATCCAGTCCACCACAGCAAAATTCATAATTAAAGAAAAAAAAAAATCCAAAACCATCACAAATTTAGAATAAAAACATATATCCTAAATCAATCTGTCGAAATCCATAACCTCCACAATCTATCTCTCCATCTCACACTGCCGAAGTCCAATAAAGGTTCAACGGGTTGTCGACGGTACCTAACTCCTAAAACCCCCCTTCCTCTCATACAACCCAATTCCGGTGGAAGTTCAACGGTCATCGAAGGAACCCAAATTCTTTAACCTCCCTCCCACTCACATTACCGAATTCGATGGAAGTTCAACGATTGTCGACAACAACCAAATCCTCCTATCTCTCTCAATCTCTCACATTGCCAGACTCCAAAACATATAGTTTGTGGGGTATAGGACGGGAATGCGACGACTTTGCGCCTTTGCGGGAGCGTCTGTTGTGAGGGGGAGAGAGGAGGTTGCCATTTTACAGTAAAATAGTTTTTTTTTTTTTTTTTTTTTTTTTTTGTCCTTAGTTCAGCATTTCTGCTTAGAACATTGTTAAAGTAATTGACTATTTAGTGCATGACTGCACTATATTCTAAAAGGAAAATTATGGGTAATATGGTAACTTAATAATTCTGCTAGATTTTTATTTAATATAGGGGCTTATAGGTCAAATAAATCTCACCGTTAGTTTAAATTGAAATGAAAAATGTGGTTTGTGCACATTTCTAAATAGTATCAGCGTAGTGCTGATGAAAAGTCCCGAAATGGACAAGTGCTTATTAAGTTGGGAGAACGACTTATACATACCCAAGATTTATCGTAATAACAAGTTGGTACCCAAAAGGTTTTGAAATGATAAATAGGTAATTTCCGTTATGTTCTGTTAGTGATTTCTGTTTATTACTGTTTATTAATAGTGAAAAGACTAAAATGCCCTTAAAAGTTTGAATTTTAGTTTTTTATAAATTTAAAAATTTCAAAAAACCCCCTAAGTTTACAAATTTCACTAAATACCCCAATATATAAAAGTTTTATAAAATAACAAAAACACCCCCCACTGGCAAGTGCCAAATTCCGGCCCCTACCGCCGGAATCTGCCCGGAAAGTTGCGTTACGACACAGACCCATCGGATCTGTGTCGTAACGCGTCAATCTGGCCTTTTTCGGCCAGATCCGTGGCTGATCTGGCCGGAAAAGGCCAGATCTGGCTGTTGCTTCGACGGCCAGATCTTGCCTTTTCCGGCAAGATCCGTGGCGGATCTGACCGGAAAAGGCAAGATCGGCACGTTACGACACAGATCCGACGGATCTGTGTTGTAATACAGTTTTCCGGCCAGATTCCGGCGATGGTGGCCGGAATCTGGCACTGGGGGTGGTGGGGGTGTTTTTGTCATTTAACAAACATTTTATATATGGGGGTGTTTAATTAAATTAGCAAACCTAGGGGGTTTTTTAGAAATTTTTAAATTTATAAAAAACAAAAATTGAAACTTTGAAGGGCATTTTAGTCTTTTCACTATTAATAAACAAAAATCACTAACAGAATATGACGGAAGGTACCTATTTGTCGTTTCAAAACCTTTTAGGTACCAACTTGTTTTTACAGTAAACTTTGGGTATGTACAAGTGGTTCGCCCTTATCAGTTTTGCAAAACCTCGGGATAGTAACCAGTGTCTTTATTTTATTATTTTGGATATAATTTTTGAAAAAGAAAGAGTGGGATGGTTATTATATAAAGTACGATTTAAAAGATAACAAAAACATATCTTAAGTTTGTTAATTTATTAAATATTCATGTAATAAAATATTAAAAATTAATAAGAATATTCACATTCACCCATTAAATACCAGCAACCAGTCATCACCACTGAAGGATAGTTGAAGTTGTCGTATTGATGCACAATCGGTCAAATCTACCGTGCACCAATATGATCTTTTTCAGCTAGATCCAATATGGATCTAGCTGAAAAAGGCCAGAACTGACCACACTTGGTCGTCAATGACGCCAAAGATGTGATCGTTGTTGACTGACCACACTTGGTCGTCCATGACGGCCAAAGATATGGTCATCGTTGATGGTCAACGACAACCATATCTTGGTTGTTGTTGACGACTAGCTACAGCCGTAGATTTAGCCTTTCGAAAAAAGCTAGATTAGCGCATTACCAGCCAAATCTAGCTGGTAGTGTGCCATTATACCAGATTCCTTCTACTTTCTGATGGTGGTGGCTAGAATCTGGCAAATGTGGGTCGGTGGAGGTGTTTTTGTTAATTTCTAAACTTTTTTTGTGGTGTTTAGTTAAATTAATAAATCTAAGGGTTTAAAATAATTAAATAAAATAGAATATGATTTTCATAATAGGGAAACAAATGTATATTTTTTGTAGGATAATAATAGGATAGTGTAAAAATATTAAAACAAAATCACCCTTACTCGTCATCTCTACGTACTATATCCAATGGAGGCAAGAAAAAGTCCCATCAGAATTAAAAATATTATGATTTTTATTTGTTTTAAATTTTTAATAATACCTGATATGCTAAATATAGAAGGAAAAAAAAAAGGTAATGACCTTGTCATAAAATAAACACAAAAAGATTATGTTAAACATCTTGTATAAAATAAAAGACAAAAAAAAAAAAAAAAAAAATGCATAAACATAAATCGATTATTGTAATAATTTATGGTTGTTGTTATGCCATAAAATTTGGAGGAATGCTATCTTACTCACTCCCCCTATTCAATTCTCTTACTCACCTTTGTTAAAATGTTAATCTTATCCACTTTTTCACTTTTTTAACAAAGGTGAGTAAGAGAAGTGAGGAGGGGGAGTGAGCAAGGCTAGCATTATTCTAAAAATTTTTATGTGTGGATTCACGCCACATATAAACTTGAATGTTGTGCTATCACACTCTCATAAAAATCAAGTTTGTCAGCACTTGGCACAACCCTAAGGGTCTGCTTGAGAGTTTTTTTTTTTCACTGGTTTTGGAAAGTTTTTAATTAGATTGGTTTTGAGGTGTTCTAAAACCATTACTTGTCAGATTTTTTATAGACTGGTTTTGACTGATTTAAAAACCCCCCAAAACCAATATGGTGTATTTTTGAGGGGTTTATAAAACACCCTAAATCGGGGTGTTTTGGCTGGTTTAAAAATTTTATCCCAAAAAAACTACTATTATTCCATGATATACAATAATCCCTTTGCTGCTAAAAAAAAGGTCACATAATAAAGGGGCAAGGGAAAAGACGGACCTTTCTTCGTTTGATTCTTCCTTCTCCAGCTTCTTCAATTCTCTCAACAAGGTTTGTTTCTCTCTTTCTCTCTCATTTTTTGTTTGGGTTAATCATGTCATGCTTAAATGAGGGAAGGATCCTTTGTTCTTCTTAATTGATTTGCCCTAGATTTGCAATAGGTTATTCTTTTTAATTAGGTTTTTAGTTGGTGGTAAAATTAATCACATTTGAGTTTTTGTGCTTTCAACAGTTCACTTGCAGATTTATTGCAGAGATTGTAGTTAATGGTACTATTGCCTCCATGGTTGTGTTGAAATGGTACCATCATCTCCAATTGCTTACACCTACCCAGACTGTTTATTTTTATCCCTCAAAACAGGCAGGCATGGGACGAGGTTTACACGATGCTAATGAGTGCAGTTTTTGCATCCTATGAATTTCTTATGAAAAAATCTACTCTATTCTAGTGAAGATGAGAAACCACGCTGGCACTGATGCTGGGCAGAGTATATTTTGGTAGAAAATAGTCTCTCTGCTTGACGCAGTTAAAAATGCACCTATATCTCCTTAAACATGTGATAATTCTTGAAATTTTTGCTTCAATTTTGGTTGCTTATATTCAAATTATTTATTTTTCTGAACAGTTCTCTTTCAAAGTTTGCTGTTCTTGGATATGAATTGGGTTATTCAATGGAAAACCCGAACTCATTGGTAATGTGGGAAGCTCAATTTGGTTTCTTTTGCATATATTTTCAGTAAATCTAGTTATTGAGTGGAAGTCAAATTACTGAGTATACTAATAGTGCCAACATAGCGAATGTCATCAACTAAATTACATATTTTAGTGAGAACATACAAATAAATTAAATAATATACAATGAAAGAACTTACAAATAAATTAAACTTAGAAGAAACTTTGATACTAAGTATTGGTAATTGAAAAAAAAACTCCCAAGTACTGTTGAAGTTGAGGTATTTTTATGGGCATATATGTAAATTTATCATTTTAAAAAACTGTTAAAAACGCTGAAAAATAAACTCAAAAGCACAGATTGGATATTTTAAAAACTGCTACTAAAAATCTCTCAAAATTGTTATGATGATTTACCCTCAAAACCTCTATGATGGTTATCCCCATAACCGCTACTATAAAACTTCCAAACAGACCATTAAAGTCATCATAATTTGAGGAAGAAACGTTATGATTTCTTCAAGCCAGCAAGCAGATAATCATTTCATTTAAAAAGCTCGAGTAGACCATTGATACACATTAAACGGGGGCTAGAGAGATAGGCGTTGGGTAGACATTGGAGCTTGAGCCATTATTTTTCTTTATAAAAATAACATTATTATATTTTTGTACGTACAGGTGTTATGAAAAAAATAATAGAAGAATAATAAAATAACAATAAATGTAAGACTTACTTACAATATCAACTACTCTAAAAATCTCTTTTATCAATATTTTATTTTATGTTTCCTTAAACATATATTATCATTACATCATAAATACCTCACTTGTAGATTCATAACAATTTTTGCACGCATATTTCGTTGGTCTCAAAATTACACATCAACAGTTAATTAATTTATATGACTTATCTCATGGAATACTTTTATTTCACACAAGGGGTCCTTTTATAAGGTGACAAAGAAACTTGTTGATACCTTTGTTGTTCAAATAAATTAATTATGGTCCCTAAAGTTTGGCATAAACAATAAAGTCCCATATGTTTTCATTTCTTAAATGAGAAAGCACAACGTAAAATGTATTGTTAAATTAGTTGATTTACAAGTTTTAAATGAATATAAGATCACCGTTAAGTATCCCAGTGATGTTATTGCTTTAAATTTTAAATTAGGAAATACAACTTAAAATGTTTTGGTTGCATTTGGTACACTTTTTTTAATAGGATTTCTAAAATCCTATTCTGAATACATTTTAGGATATGATTATGAGAATATGTTTGGTACATTATTGAAAAACTGTTTCTAAAAATATTTAGATTACTTTTTAACCCCCTATATTCGTTAATTTAGCTAAATACCTCTCAAATAAAAGTTTATAAATGAACAAAAACACCCCCACCCTCCTAATCGACTTTCGACAGCTGGCCACCACCGCCGAATGGTGGCTGTCAATCGCCAAAATGACGC